AGTGGTAGAGGAGTCAAAAACGTGCTGGCACTGAACTGAGACCTTCTCTTTGGCAGTGTTGGTAGGCCTGAGAAGATGCTGAAAAGCTCGTTTTCTCCTTCTGCTCATGCCTCTACCTCCTAAACCATCTTGGACGCTGTTAGAGAGGAGAAAGAAATATCCCCTACACTGGAGAAAATGAATGTGTGTCGCCCATTTTTTTAGAGGTGGATTTTTTGAGAGGGCTGGAGTCTCCTCTCAGACTTTCCCTCCACGACCCCTGGGAGGGCGTTGCTCCCCACTGCTGCTGAGTCACTGCGTGTGGGGGAAGGAAGTAGTTCTAGAAAATGCCTTTTGTTCCCTCCCTTCCCACTGTTTACCAGGTTGGGCTTGGCGTCCTGGGCCGATGATCAACAAAGGATTAGATGTTAAAACAAATCAAATCTGCTTGCCCTTAAAAAATGGTATTTCAAAGGAAGGTCCCAACTGAAATAAACCAAGTTTCAAGTAAGAATTTGAATGAATTCTGACAACATAATCCAGAGTGCAGGACTCGTCTTCAGGCTATGGGTTTTTTTCCTGTCAGCTCCACTAAGGACAGAGAGAAAACAAAACAGGTCTTTCTGGGCTAGGGAATACTTATTATTATTACTATTATTATTCACTAAGTTTCTTTGATGTGAATAAAACATGGAAATTAGAGCTCAGCTTATGTCCTTCTCCCTCTATCCGTCTCTCATTCCTCATTCTCTTCCTCTCCACTCCCTTCCGTATTTCTGGAGGGTCTATGATGTATCAGGACACTGTTTCCCGGTTTTGGTTCCTTTGAACACCTGCTTCTCTATTTCTGCCTAATCCACAGCCCATCTCTACTGGAAGTTACTTAATTTTTAAAAAATGTAATTCCCATTGTCTTGCTTATGTAAATTTGGACCCATCCTAAGACAATAAAATCCATGAAATCAAGGGTTTGGCTATCTGGCTGTATATTTCCCCCAGTGCACAATGAAAGAAATAAGCCAATGTTACAACACGAACTGAGCACTGCTGGGCACGTCCTAAAGCCACCCCGTTGGCCATGCTTGATGGAACCTTCAAGGCTGGCCAGGGAGGGGCCTGCAGAGAAGGCCTTCCATCAGGGCTTGTGGCTGACCCATAGCCTTCCAACCAGCGGTGCTCAAACTTCTGCTCCTGGAGAGCTGTTAAAAGATTCTTGGGCTGCATTTCCAGAGCTTCTGATTCAGCAGGTCTGGAGTGGAGGCCTGGGAGTCTGCATTTCTAACAAGCTCTCAGGTAATGTTGATGGTGCTGGTCCCAGGACCACAACGGAAGCAGGTCTAGGACCACTGGGCATCAAAATCACTTGTAGGTGCTTCTTAAGATGCAGATTCCTGGGCATGACCCACGAGACATTCTAATTGCTCAGCTGGATGGATCCCTGGAATCGGTCTTATCAACCAGAGCTCCAAGAAACCTCTGGAGACCGCCTTTGAGAAACACTGCCAGGACCACCATTAGCACCTGGAACTCAGAGGTGAGGTAGAGACGTGAGTGACCTGCCTCAAAGTCGCTCTGCTAGTCACAGACAACTCCTTCTCCCTGTTGTTTGGGCCCTAAACCTGACTTCTCTTTCCCTCCTACTCTCCATTCAGTGTCGGCAAACCCTGTAGGCTCTTCCTTCAAAACAGTCAGGTTTCCTTTAAAAAGCTCCAGCAGGGCCGGCCGAGTGGTGCATTGGTTAAGAGCTGGCTTGGGACGCCAGAGGGCCCCGGTTCGGATCCCACATATGAGGGCCAGTGACACTGCCCTCTACAGCTAAGATGCTGAACAACAGCTCAACCTGGAGCTGGGCTGCCGTGAGTCACCGGCCACGGCGTAGGCTGCAGCGGGTTGCCATGGGCTACCATGTGTAGCCAGCAGCCAGCGTGAGCGGCCGTCCAGAAGCCGGCGACTGATGTGCCTCACCCAGGAAGAGCGCAATGATGGTGCCAACTTGGGCCAGTGAAGCAACGTCCTCCACAACTAGACTGAAGAACGAAAGGACAGCAACTTGTCTGTTCCCCTTCCCCCAATTCCCCAGCGCTGTTCTCATCCCCCAATTCCCCCAATAAAAATCTTAAAAAATAGAAAATGTATAAAAAAACCCCACAAAAACAAAACTCTAGCACTTGGACTTGGGGATGGGATGATAAATGAAACAAGACTGGTGAAATGTTGAGGATGGTTCAAAATGGGAGCGCATTTCATCACTCACAGTTTTTATGTATATTTGAATTTTTCCATAGTAAAAGTTTTTAAGTCTTTGATCTAACGAATCCACTTCTGGGAATTTATCTTAATGAAAATTTTAGATACAGGAAAAAAGCTTACACATAAAATATTTTTCAAATAATAATAGTATAACATTGGAAACATATTAAGTTCTCATAATAGGCCAACAATAAACTCTGGGACACCCCACAATGGAATTCTGTATCATTAAAAATGTTTATTCAGGCCACGTACCAACATGGAAAATATGATATACTATTAAGTGAAAAACAGGACATTAAATTGTATATACTACATGATTAAAACTATGCAAACACATCTTTAAAAAATATTGAAATTTAAAAATAATTTCATATCCAGAATCTGACCACTTCCCACCACCTTCAACACAACAATCTTTGCCTGAGTCCCACAGTCTCTCTCACCTGCATCCCTGCAACAGCCTCGCATTGGTCTGCCTCCACCCTCCCTCCTTCCCATCTCTTCTCGTGGCAGCCAGAGAGGTCCTTTAAAAACATAAATCAGATCACAACCCTCCTCTGTTCAGACCATACGAAGGCTTTCCATGTCTCTCCAAATAAAAGCCAAGTCTCAACCTTATCACTGCCCTCCAGGCTGTAGGACAAGAGACCTCAGCTGCGGATCTACTGCTGTTCCCTGGCGGCTTCTGCCACTGCAGCCATGATGGCCTCCCAGCTAGTCCTCTCTCACTCCAGCGTCAGGGTCTCTGCACTTACTACTTCCTCTGCTGGGAATGTGCGGCCTCCAGATATCTGAAGGAGTGCCCCTCCCTCATCCATGGCAGCTCTTCAGGGAGGCCTTACCTGAGCTTCCTATCTAAAACAACACTGCTCCCCTTCTGCACCTCCATGCCCTTTATTTTCCTCTTTAGCACTTAACACCTCCCACAGTACATTTGCTCATTGTGTCTTCTACTTACTAGAATGCAAATTCCTTGAGAACAAAGACTTGATGTCGGATTCTCTGCTGAACCCCTAGTACCTAGCACAGAGCCTGGCACATAGTAGTTGATCCATAAATACCTGGGGACTGAAAGGGTGTTGAGCTAAAAGCCACCCAAGAGAACTGTGAGTTTTTTGTGGGCCTTCTGTTTTTCAAGTCGCCTACTTCTCTCCAGACTCCCTGGCAGTGGAAGACCCACAGCAGGAGCCCAATGGGTGGAAAGCGCATCCTGTGACCTGGAGGCAGCAGAGCATGGCGCCTGCCAGGACTGGCTTTGGGAGGTCCAATTCTGACCTGCCGCCACCAGCTGTGCGGCCTTAGGACAATTCTGAGAATTTCCCGAGCATGAAATTTTCCTTATGCATAAAGAAGATAATAGCAGTTCCCACTTCCCAGGGCTGGGGTGGGGTCTCAACCAGAGAATGCCCATAAATCACGTAACAAGCACAATGCCTGGCACAGAGTAGGTGTGTGGCAAGAGGCAGTCAAATTAATCAGCAGCCACAGGTGTGCCTTTGTCTCTTTCAAGTTTACAAAGCGCTCTTGTACATGTTGTATCTGATTCAAGCCTTTCAGCAATCCTGTCAGTTTTATCACCATTTTATTGTGTGTGGGGGGGAAACTGGGTCAAAGAGGAATCAAGTGCCTACCTACAGGACACCCTGAATCTGACTACAGCTCTTGACACTCCCTCCCCTAGAAACATAAGCTATCATCACTGGTAAAGCTAATCAAGACGGTTTAGATGGCCCTTTGGAGCCCAGACTCTAAAGCATGTGCCTAGGGTGAGGCTGTGAACAGCAAATGAAATCAGCCAGAGCGCCTCGCTTTCCTAACCAGCCAACAGAGAGGCAGGGGCGCGCGGGCTCCATGTCTCCGAACGAGGCTCAGGAACAAGTCTGAACAGATAAATCATCTCTCAGAATCCACCCAGGATTTAAAACATCTCACTGTTTTCCTGAGAGGAAAAATACAAAAGCCCTTTTTGTGGCTTCTCCCGCTTAAGAGTGGGCGGTAGCTCTAAGCAGCAAATGTCACCTTTGGTCTTTGAGACCCTTGTTGCCCTGTAATCTCTGACCCAGTCTGTCCTGACAAAATGAGGAGAAACCCTGGCTTGGAGCTCTGGGCCTGGTTCTTGTCAGTCTCCTTCACCTTTCTAGGGTAGGAGAACGAGAGAGGTCATGTGACAGTAAAAGATCAGCAGGGGTTAAGACCTGAAATTCAGAAGCACAATCCAAAAAAATCACTCTCAGGAGTCGTGGAGTATTACGACTGCAGCATGTGAGAGACAAAGTCACACTTGAAGCCTCATGGGGTTGGGAGAGATGACACTGGATAGGAAGGGACAAAGGTTGCTGGGACTCTCATGGCTCCTGGGTCTGGGGCATCTTCTGTCTGGTCAGAGGCTTAACAAACACTCCGAGAGAATATGGTCTAAGGTCTCCAGCTGTAGGAGAAAGGCTGGGAGGTCAGGCCATGGATACCAACTCAATGGCAAAATTCTATAATCAGGCCCCTGAGGCAAGAGATCACACGAGGAGAAAGCCTCAGAAGAATCCCACCAGGCCAGTGAGCCCTGGCCTCTGGTGGTGCGTTAGGAGACCCTGACGGTGCCAGGTTTGTGGCAGGCCAGCAACTGCTAACCCACTCTTACTGAGAGCAGTGCCATGAGGGTCAGGCTTGATGGCCTGTGCTCCTTGCTGGGATTGTGCCGTGAGCCGCATTTAGCTGTCTGCAGAGGACTGCATGGCACCTTGACTGAGAACTTGTATTTGCATAGTGTTTACAATGGAGGACAGTGTTCAGGCCCCAAACCTGGAAATGGTCCAGGAAGGGGAGTTGACAGTGGCTCTGGCCGGGCAGTGGGGATGAGTCTGGGGGCCACTTTGGGGGTCATATAAAAAAGTGGTGAATATCCCCACCCCACCCCCGGCCTCATCTACATTCAATTAAGGTCACTTTAGGTACCTACGTTAATGAGCTTCACTGAGTTTTTTTAAATGAGGGAGCGTTCTAGGGTAGTCATGATCTTGTATCAAAACTATAAAAATCTTTCTCTATATAGGTATATAAAAAATCTCTCTGAAGAGAGTTCAGCATCCCAAGCTGCTCAGAGCAGGGCAGACCAAAAGACAGAGGTTGGACTGTTTTGCTGGTATGAGAAATTCCCAGGAGAAACAGCTGGAATGACACGAGGAGGACAGATGGTCTGGGTCCTAGGAACATGGAAGTCCTGTGTCCGGGGAGATGGACCGTCTGTCTTCCTCCTTTAGGAAGTCCTTGATACTTTTCTGTCTTTGGCAGGTGCAAAGAGGAGCTTGCTCCTTTGGGGGCGTCAATTCTGAGAGCAGTTCTGGCTGCCAGACCTGGCTGGAGTGACCAGCTGCTCAGACTGGTGATGCGCTCCAACCAGGATCAGAACTCGTCCCGTAGCTGTGGGGGCCTGTCCATGCCAAAGAAAGAGGACAGCCTCCCCTGGAGGTCTCGTTCGCGCTTCACGAAGGCGGTGAAGGAGGAGACACAGTTGCCAATAAAGTGGTCGGCTTGGCCGAGGATGTACAGGTCGATCTGAGCCACCTCAGGCTGCAGGCTCACCACCTTCACCTGCAGGGAAAAGGGCAGGGCATTTTAGCCAGGGTGCAGGTGGAGGTGGCCAGCTCAGCCAAGGCCTGCAGCCATAGTCCCAGTCTTCTTTCTCTGTGCTGAAGTTACAGACACAAAATATGGTGCAGAGAGAATTAAGACGTAGGGTCGGTATCTGAGAGAAGTGTTGCCCAGCAGCTGCCTCGGCCCAGCCCCACGTGGAACACCACCCCAGCACCCTTCTCCCTGCTACGCCCCCAGCCTCAGCTCCAAACATACCACTCATTCATACTCTGTGCCTCTGCTTGTTAGCTCCCATTGCCTGGAATGCCTTTTCCCTACCCTCAACTCCCCACCATACTCTCAAATCTCAGCTCAAGTTCTACTTTCCTCATGAAGCCCTAGCCTGATGGGCTTGGCTTCCCCCATCCAACCATGACCTGACCAAACGGTGCCCCACCCATCCAGTTCTGCTGCCTGGATGCCTCCAAGCCTAAAGGACTGTCCAGTCTCTTCCCCAAGATTTTCCGCAAAGGCGAACTCTTCTCCTTGGATTACCACTTCCTGGCCAGCCGCTATCATCTCTTACCTCTTGACTAGTCTCCTTGCTGCCTCGCCTCTTGGTCTGCTCACCACAGAGCAACCAGAGGTAACCTTTTTAGATACCTCTAACCCCGTGCCCCGCTCCACCCCAAACTGAACACCCTTAAGTGGTACCCTACTGCTCTTCAGATAAAGGTGACAAATCTTGATTGTGGCCTATAAGGCCCTGTTCAGGCCACCTCTCCACCTCCTCTCATACCTCCAGCCACTGCACACCAGGCTCCCAACCTCCTCAGGACATTTGCATATGCTCTTCCTTCTATTTGGGGTGCTCGTCTCTTTGCCTGGTTACCTCCTACTTAACTTTCACTCTGTAGCTCAGTCTCACCCGCTTAAGGAAGTCCTCCCTGGCCCCCAGTCTAGGCCAGGGTCCTCTGTCCTGCACTCTCACAGAACCATGTTCCTTCATTTCAGAGCACATGTCTCCATTTGTAGTTTTTACTTTTTAGTGATTCTCTGATCAATGTCAGTCTCCTGCACCTGATGGTGGCAGGGCTGTGTCAGTTTGCTTGTCACTGCTGGCTGGAGCCTGCCTCAAGGAACATCTGTTGACTGGCCAAGTGGATGAATGAGCCCCACCCCCTCTTGTGGCATGTATTAGTTTTCTGCAAAGTCTCTTTTCTTGAGTCTAGACAGTGAGCCCTCGAGAGCAGCACCGTATCTTATTTATTAGTACCTCCAGCTCAGCACTAGCCCAGCTTGAGAGAAGCAAGGCCTAGTTCAGGAGGAAGGGAGCTCTGAGTGCATGGAAAAGGGGGCTGAGGAGTGCGGAAGCGCAAGAGCAATGGCACAGAGACAGGAAACAGAAAATGGCAATAGACTCAAGATGTAACAACTAAGAATACGTCAATACTAAAAACTCACAAGAAAACTCCCTGGGGCTCTCCGCATGCTTCAACTTAGTACTGAGGTGGGGGTGTGGGCAGAGCTGGGGCGGAAAGTGCTTTGCTGTCACGCAGAGGTTTCTGATGTAACAAAAATCATCATCTTGCTATTTGGATGGTAGCAAACAAATAATACTATGAGTTTAATCATGGCCAAAATCCCCTGAATAATTCCACCCACGTCCTGAAACTTACCCGGTCTGTGTCATGCCCACTATAATTAGCTCTGCGACCTCTTGGGTAAATTCTGTCCCTTCTTGGGACTTTGGTTTCCCCAGCGATAAAGCGCATGGGTTGGGTTAGAGGCGCTCCAAGGTCTCCCAGCTCTGATATTCTTCTATAACGTGGGTGAATGGGAGACCAGAGTGCACGGACTCAGCACTTTCTCTACAAGCTGGGGCTTCCAGCCTGGGTCTGGGGTAAAAGAGAAAGGGAGCCCCTCCACGGAAAGCGCAGGGCACTCACTGCTAAAAAGCAGATGGCTGCCTCCTAAGGTCTGTAGAAGCATTTAGGGCTTTCACTCGTTCAACAAAGTCTTACTGAGTGCTTACTATTAATTCACTCATTTTACTGATAACCCTCTTCAGGCAGACAGTACCGAGCACGTTCTACTACTTACTCATATGCTGAAGACTTACTACTCATGGCTTCCTTAAGCATTTATTAAGAACAAAAGCTCCTCCCCTTTATCCACCAACCCACAGACTTCTACTGTCAATGATGGCTAACATTACTGAGCGCTTATTTTGTACCAGAATGGTTTTAATTTCTTTACATCTGATCTTACAATCACGGATGAAATAGGTACCACTTTCAGTCCCAATGTATAGACGAGGAAACAGAAACACAGAGAGGTAAAGCAACTGATGCAAGGCTGCACAGTGAGTAGAGCCCAAGTTCTCTGGCTCTACAGTCCATACTTTTCAGGGGCCCACTCTTTATGTCCTTATTCAGCAAACATTTACTAAGTGTCTACTCTGTGTTAGGCACTGTCCTAGACATTGGTGATGGTGGGGCAGGGTGGGGGAGGGGTGGCGGGTGGGTTTCTCAGCCCTGGAAGAGGTCAAAGCACCAGGCTAGATGCCAAGGAAAAAACACTGAGTCTACCTGGGATCCTGCCTTCAAGGAGCCAGCACAACTCCTGGGAGAAAATAAGACATGTTTCTACACGAGTCTCACATAGTCTAGAAAGTGTCGCAGAGAAGATGTGATAAAGTGCTGTGACAGCTCCAAGTCGGGACACCTTAGCTACAGGAGTGGAGGAAAAACTGGAGGGCATCAGCAGAGGTGTGTGAGCTGCGTTTTTGTTTTGTTTTGTTTTTTTTAACTTTCAGTCTGTGTGGCCTCTTGTTTATATCCTTGGTTATGGGGCTTCTGTTCAGCTAGGCTTCAGATGGTTCTCGAGGTCGACTGCTCTATAATTTGATTTTAAGTTTAATATAGTCATGGGAGGTGGCAGGCAAGGGTTTACATATTCCGCCATCTTAGAATCTTCTCCTCGAGCTGGGGCTTGAAAGGAGGATAGGAATTGGAGAGAAATGGGATGTCCAAGCAAAAGCCCAGTGGCGGGCAGACATGAAGCATGTAGTGGGAGTGGTGGAACCACCCTGGCGTGTTCTCTGATTCCCTTCCTGCTGCACTCCTACTGGGCCCCTGCCTACCTTCCCTCTGAAGAGTTCTTGGATCTCAGGCGCAAAACTCTCTGAGTCCGTGGCGATGTAGACCGACTGGGCATTCAGCGCCTTCACCCAAAGCTTCAGGGCCCGCTTGATTTCCTTCAGGTCCGGGAGGCACATCGTCATGGTGAGGGGGGCCGCAGCGCTGCGGCTGTAGCCCACACACTGCGGAGAGGCCATAAAGTGGGAGCCCGCAGTCCCATCCTTCAGCATGGCGCAGGCATTCTTCTATGAGAGGAGCAGAGGGGGGGTTCAGCGTTAAAGACAGCAACTGGCGGGGAACCCCAGAAGCCAGAGCCCATAAGTGGAAAAGGGCAGGCAACAGGGGAGGAGCTCAACTATGTTTTTTAAAAAAAGCATTGAGGGAAGACGGAAATGCATCAAAACAGTAAGCAGTGGTTATTTCTGGGTAATGGGATATTGGCTTTTTATAAAGTTTTTGTTTGTTTGCTTGTTTTTTTACTGGATTTACTGGTTTCACTGGTTTCATGATCTGGGACCTCCAGCAGAATTCTGAATCATGGTGGTGATAACGGGCTACCTTATCTGATTTCTGACTTCAGTGGGAACACTCCTGATAGCTCCCATGAAGTGCATGTTTGCTGTGGGTTTCAGAGAGATAGTCTTTGTCAAGTTAAGGTGGGTCACTTCTATTCCTGGTTGGTTAAGAGGTTGGTTTTTTTTTGTTTTTGAAATCACAAATGAGTGTTGACTTTTATCAAATGCTTTCTTGGCCTCTATTGAGGTGATTATATGATTTTTCTTCTTTGGGTGTTAATATAGTGAATTTTATTGCATTCCTGGGATAAATTTTACTTGTTTGTGTTGTATATTCTTTAATATGTTATTGAATTTTACTTGCTAATATCTTACTTAGGATCTGCACAGCTATTGATGTTCACAAGTGAGAATGGGCTAGCTACTTTTCTGAATTGACCTTATCTGAATTTGGTATTAGCGTTATGCTAACTTTATAAAAAATAGCATCTTGTATCTTTTTATGTTCTAGGCAAGTACAGATGGGAACTGTCTGTTCCTTGAAGGTTTGACTGAAACCATTCATAACATATTCTGGGCCTGGCTCCCCTCCTTTGTGGAAAAGGGCAGGAGGGGAGTCTAGTGGGTAAATGTGTGATTACTTCCTCAATTGACTCTGAATGAATTTTGATCTAATGTCTATATTTTTCAAGTCTTCAACAATGAACATTTCTAACATGTGTGTATATATATTTAATGTAGATATGTGTATATGTATAAATGTATATATCTCTATATTCTATATCTTCTTATGTAAATTAAGGAGACTGTCTATATTGCTCCTGTTATTTTCACACAGAGGATAACGTGAGGAGGTTTCTGCACAATTTAAGTGGCCTCCAAATTTAGAGAATGACCTCTTCATTTCTTGGGAGCCCCACCCAAACTCCAGAACTTGTTTTTCAACAATGAGTCTATTGACTACACCCTGAGCTGGGACAGAGGACTCCTGGGCTGTGGGTCTCTCTCTGGTTTGCTGCCTGACCCGGAGCCCAGTTTGATACCTCAGTTTTATCCTCATAAAAATGGCAACTGCTAAAATGAGAGCTGGCAAGCAAGCACTTGAGCTACATTTCTGTTGTGTCTATGGCAGGATCATGGGAAACAGTCCCATGGACTTGGCTGAGCGAGAACTCTTTGCCCTGGCTGGGACTTGGTTCAATGGGTTCACTGTTCCACCCCCACAGGCATGGGCCCTGCTCAGGGACATATCCAACCCAGCCATGAGAGGAAGGGGGAAGTTACCCAGTCGGAGCCAATGCGCAGGTGAATGCCCACATAAGGCCGGATGAGGTGGGCATGGATCTGGGCCTCTCCTGTCCTCACCATCTCGTCTGACCAGACCATATACTTCTGCAGTGACCTATGCTCCTCCAGGATGGGGAACTGGGCCGGGGCCCCTGGCAGGGCCAGCACTGGATGTTCCTTGGGAGAAAATCTAGATACAAGAGAGAATGAGGGGAAGTCAGAGAGAGGACACACAGAGAGCACGGCCACCACCCGCATAGGAAAAAGGATGGCATTGCACCATGTCCCAGAGACCCTGTGCAGGGGCCCCTGTAACATGCAAGAAGCACGAGCGGTTGTGAAACCCCAACGGGCTGATAAGAAACCTTGGCGGCGGCAACAAGCACAATATGCAATACTGTCCCGCCACCCGGAATTTACAACCCTCTTTGCTTGTTTAACAATTAAAAATTTCAAGTAGAGCATTCCAGCCTTTTATATATCATGCTGCCTTCTAATCTGTGGTGTGATAATTCTCTCCAGGGTGTGGTGTCTGGATGGAGCCTTGCCCTTTTACCCACATGGCGAGACTGGGATATGCAGCTGCTCCCATAGGGCAATGGACAGGTCACACTCACAGGGAACGTGACACTGGATAAGCACATTTACTCAACACTTCACACATATTTACCAATTGCCTACTATGTGCTGGAACTCAGGGGAGAATGAGAAAGGCATGGTCCCTGCCCTCATGGAAAGCACCAGCGTTCTACAGATGCCCCCATAAACCTCCCTCAAAGGCTCCTCTGGCCATACACTATGCCCCTTGTAATTACTGTCTTTTCTGCTGGACTCAGGCTTCTGAAGGCAGTGCATCCATGTGCTCAGAACAGTGTCTGGCATACGTACGAACTCAGTTAAGATTTGCTGACTGAATGGGTGAGGAGCAAGCCTGTGTTCTCTCTTAAGCTAAGCCCAGAGCTTATGCCAGCAACACAAAACATCCTGCTGGCCCCTAAACTTTAAAATCTCTGTAGGCCACATCTCTGTAGGCTTCTTCCTCTGCCAGCCAAAATCCTGTTCTTAAAATTATGAAACAGACCCAGCAACTCTGGAAAACAGTTTGGCAGTTTCTTATAAAACTAGACATGCAACTACCTTGTGACCCAGCAATTGGGACTCTTGAGCATTCATCTCAGAGAAATGAAAACCTATCTTTACACAGCAACAAGGAGATGAGTGTTCATAGCAGTTTTATTCATAATAGTCCCAAACTGGAAATAACTCAGATGTCATTCAACAAGTGAATGCCTAAACACACTGTGGTGCATCCAACCAATGGAATGCTATAGCAATAAAAAGGAACAAACTATCGACAGAGGCAACAACTTGAATGGACCTCAGGGGAATTATGCCAAGTGAAAAAAAGCCAATCCCAAAAGGTTACACACTGTATGACTCCATTTATACAACATTTTTTTAATGACAAAATGAGAACAGAAATTGAGACCAGATTATTGGTTGCCAGGGTGTGTGTGTGTGTGTTTAGGGAGGTAGGTGTGATTATAAACTGGCCACATAAGGATTTTGTAATGTTAAAACTATTTGGTATCTTGACTATGGTGGTGGATACACGAACCTACACATGATAAAACTGAATAGAACGAAACACACAAACACATACACACACACACACACACACACACACACACACACACACACACACATGAGTACAAGTAAAACTGGGGAAATCTGAATAATATGAGTGGATTGTATCAATGTTAACATCCTGGTTGTGATAGTGTACTATATAGTTTTGCAAAATGTCACCATTGGAGGAAACTGGGTAAAGGAACAATGGGATCCCTCTATATTATTTCTTACACCTACATGTGAATCTCCAATTAATCAATAAAAATTTCAATTAAAATTTATGAAATATTTCAAAAAATACAGAAAATAATCCACATACCCATGACTCAAATTGGCAGATATTAATACTTTTCTTTGTTTCAGGTTAAAATACACACACACACACACATAAATAAAAGCTCTATCCTATCATTTCTTTTCTTTCTTTTCTTCCTCTTCCCAGAAGATACTGTGGTTTTATGCAGGATTACACTTTTACTATTGGTATAAAAAGGTATTACACTGTGTGGTTTTTACACCGTGTAATGGTAAAAGCATTGTTGAGCCAGACGGGCTTGTTCTAGAATGTTGACTATGCTATTTATTAACTTGGGCAGGTGACTTGGTCCTTCTGACTTAAACATGCCCTGAGTTTCCTCATCTGTATAATAGAGCTGATAATAGTTTCTACTTCGTAGGGCTGTTGAGATTAAATGGATTAATATGTGCAAAGCATTAGAACAGTGCTTGGCACATAGACAGCTCTAAGAAAATTCTGAATATCATCACCATCACCACCATCACATCACCATATTGCATGTAGCCTATATCTACTTTTTAAAAGTTCAACTTTATGTTTTAGAGTTTCGGCCATATTGATCACGTGGATCATGTGATCGTGTTAGCTTCTCTTGAAGTTTTCTATTTTGCATGAATAAACTGGGATGCACCCATCTAGTCCCCTCCTGCTAGATAGTAAAGTTGTTTCAACCTTTCACTCATATGACAGTGCTGCAATGGACATGCCACCTTCTTCACGCCCAACCCAAACACCTCGCTCCACAAACACCTTCCAAATCTTCAAGACCTTCAAGATTTGTTGCCACTCCTAAGCCTCAGCTCCTCAGGGAGGACCCTCTGTCCCTCTTCTCCTTTGCTGCCTTTTACACAATGATGTGCTCAACAACTGTTTACCTGGCTCCACCGTCAGCCTGGGAGGGTAGGGGCCCAGGCAGTCTTGTTCACCATGATTCTCACTCACCCTGGCTGAGGCCAGTGCCAAGGAAGCAACACACAAGTATTCGTCAACAGCCTGGCTCTATGTAAAACTCGTCAGACTTTAATTTTATATGTACAGATACTCCTTGACTTACAATGGGGTTATATCCCAATAAACCCACCTTAAGTTGAAAATATTGTAAGTGGAAAATGCATTTAATATACCTAACCTATCGAACATCATTGCTTAGCCTAGTCTATCTTAAATGTGCTCAGAACACTTCATTACCCTATAGTTGGGTGAAATCATCTAACACAAAACCTATTTTATAATAAAGTGCTGAACATCTCTTGTAATTTATTATGTGCATCACTTTTGCACCATCATTAAGTAAAAAAATCGTTTAAGTCAAAGCATTGGAAGTCAGGAACCATGACATTTGTACATGTAAATCATTTATTGAGCCTTATGATGTGACAGACAATGTTCCAATTGCTTTGTGTAATTAACTCATTTGATTATCTTATGAGCCCTGTGAGGTAAGTATTATTGTTTTTCTCATTTTACAGATGAGGAAGTTGAGGCACAGGAAGGTTAAGTAAGACAGCCATGGTCACACAGCTGGGAATTGGTGGAGCTGGGATTTGAATCCAGGCAGTCTGCTCCAGAACCTATATCCTTAACTACTATAGCTCACTCCCATCTCCGCCACCCGGTCAACAATCACCTCAAAAGCTGAGTCTGTGGTGTATTCTTCTGATTCTTAGACCCTAACACAGTCCTCAACACACAGTAGGTATAATATTTTTAGAATGAATGAATGAATGAGAAGGATTTAGGGATCTCATCAGAGAGACCGAATCAGGTTGTCAGGCTTTAGAGAAAAAGTGAATAGTAACTGAGTACCTACATGGGCCAGGCCCTCAGCTGAGTTTCTTTCAGATGCCACCTCAAAGGGTTTCAAAGGAGAACAAGAGTTTGTGGCCACCCAGGGGACTGGAACACTAGGATAAAATCAGGATCTGTGCTGTCCTGAGCTCTTGGAAAGAACCCGCTGCTGGCCCTTGGTGAATCCGAGTTAGAATGTCCACCTCCTCTGCCTGGATCTGTCTGGATCAGTACTCTGCTGTCCCAGTGAAACGTCAGCTCTGACCTGACAAGCAGCAAGCCAAGACTGAGGTGCTCATTTGCTCCCAGGGAAGGAGAGCATTGTTTGGAAAGCAAGCTTGATCAGCTCCATCTGCCCCCTGACTGTTCACCCTAGGTCAGGCCCTTAGCCTGGTCACTGTCCAGCCGAAGGAGGCTCTTTCCTGCTGCTATGTGCAGTGAACCTTTGAGGCTCTCCACCACCACGCCTACTCTACTGATATCCCCCAACAAGCTAGGGTTTCTCTATGCACAGCATCCACTGGTGTCCAGTGTACATCTGTGGATGCACACCAGGGGATGTACACCATACTGAGTGCAGAGGATGTAGGGATACAAATGAGGTAGAGCCTTGCTCTCATTGTCCCTGCTACGAAGAATGACCTTTTCCTCCAGCTGTTTGCATGATTGGCTCCTTGTCATCCTTCAGGTCTCAGCCCTGCCAATTATTTATCACTAGTCTATGTCCTCTCAAGGAGGCCACATGCTCAAATACCTGTTACCTTCAGGCTACAAGAATGGTTCCGCAAGATGGTCCATAGTCTTCCAAAAGTCAATGTGCAACAAATGTCTGTGGAATTAAACCTCCACCAGGGCATTCACAGACTCAGAACCAAGAGAGCTGGAAGGACCCTTGGAAATCACTTAGTGGGAAAGAAATGCCTCTTTTCTTCTTCTCCTAGAACCCAACTTTCAGCTAGACACATGGCAGCCCAAAATAAAGACATTTCTCAGGGCCGGCTGAGTGGTTCAGTTAAGAGCGTGAGCTCTGAACAACAGGGTTGCCAGATTCCCACATGGGCCAGTGATCTGCACCCCAGCTGAGCTGCCAAAAGACAGCAGGATGGCTCAGTGGTTAGAGCGTGCACTCTTAACAAGGTTGCCTGTTTGACTCCCGCATGGAATGGAGGGCTGCGCCCAACCCCCACCCCCAAGCAACTAAGATTGACCACGACAACTTGAGTTGAGCAGTGGCGAGCTGCCGATAGGCAGCCGGATGGCAACTGGACTTGGAGCTGAGCTAGCTGTACCCTCCGCAACTAAGATTGAAGGACAACAACTTGGCAGTTCCCCTTCCCCAACTCCCCAATAAAATCTTAAAAAAAAAAAAGGGGAAAAAAAGATATTTCCCAGTACTTCTTGTAGCTAGGTATGGCCATGCGCTTAAGTTCTGGCCAATGAGCTGTAAGGAAGGCTACCTAAGAAGGTGGGATGTGCCCTTCTCATTCTGCCCTTTGTCCTTCCAGCTGCCTGGGGCAAGAATGTGCCGCCTGAAACTTTGTCAGACATCTTAGCCCATGAGGTGACACCAAGGATAAACGCCAGCACTGGAATGGCAGAGCAGACAGATGGGAGCCTGATTCCTGATGATACAGTGGAGCTGCCATCCAGCCAGGGTTGCAGACGCCAGTACTGTTTTACTTAAGAAAGCAGTAAACATCTCTCATGAACTTGCTGTTACTTTTGTTGTTGTTGTTATATGTGGCCTAAATGAAGCCTGAAACACCTAGACCTCTGGCCATCCAAACTTTTGGGTGATATACAAGAGGGTGCTGGTGGAAGGCGGTGGAGAAGAACTGAGCCCCTCCAACTTGCCCCCCGCCATGGCACTACAGGCACTTCACAAGAACTCCAGGGAACAATTTGAAAAGCACTGATCTTGTTCACAGCTTCATTTCACAGATGGAGCACTGCGGCCAGAGAAGGGGAGCTATCTGCTGAGTTGCGCCGTGAGCCGGAGAAGGGCCTGACACTTTCCAGTGCCATTCTCCCTATACCCATATCCTTGCTCCCAAAGGACAATTTTCTACAGCAAGCGTCTGCTATTTTAGAAAATGTTGAAAACCGATACACTCTAAAATCACTCACAGGCTTCCTATCAGATTGCTTCACCGGGGCCTCCACAGCCCTGCGCAGTCTGACCCTGCCCACTTCTCCAACCTCCGGTCCTACGTGGCACATTTAATTCTTCAAATCTCCTCCCATTGAGTGGGCTCTATGTCCTCTCCCAATAGCATTTGGCAGAAGTGACAGTGTCCAGGTTGCCAAGCCCAGTCTTTAGGGGGCCAGCAGGCTCTAACTCCTGTCTCTTGGAACACTCACTACCTGGATGCATGCTCTCAGAACCCAGGTGCCATGCTGTCAGAGTCCAAGCCACATGGAGAGGTGAACTATATGTTTGCCAGCCAACTGTCCCGGCTGAGTTCCCAGATGGCACTCAGCATTGCCTGCCAGCCACGAGTGAGCTCTCTTGGACATGCAGCCCAGTCGAGCCTTCAGATGGTGCTAGCCCCAGCCCACTGCTGACTGCATCTTCATGAGACCACAAGCAAGAAGTGCCCAGCTAAGCCAAGTGTCCATCAACAGATGAATGAATAAACAAAATGTGGTCTATACATACACTGAACTATTACTCAGTCTTAAAAGGACCAAAATTCTTACATCTGCTATAACAAGGATGAATCTTGAGGACACTATGCTAAGTGAAATAAGCCAGATACAAAAGGACAAACATTACATGATTCCACTTACATGAGGTACCTAAAACAGGCACATTCATAGAGACAGAAAAGCAGAATACAGGTTGCCAAGAGTAGAGGAAGGGGAATGGTGAGTTACCATTTAATGGATTCAGAGTTTCTATTTGGGATGATGAAAAAGTTCTAGAGATGGATAGTGGTGATGAATGGACAATCGTGTGAATATACAAAATGCTACTGAATTGTACACTTAAAATGGTTAAAATAAATAAAGACATATACTCCATTGGCATATAAACACACTGGTACCATTTTTTTGAAATCTCATGTTTTTGTATGTTTAGAACTGATCTTGCCAGTAATATTTATTATCCTGGTAAATATTGATATTAATTACTCCTCATAAAACATAGTTAGATACTCAATTACAAACTATAATAATTCATTTTAAGTTAGTATGTAAAGGTATGCATAAGTGCATAAAAATGTCTAGAGGGTAGAAGTATATATATCAAAATGCTAATAGTGTTTTTTTGAGGGGTGGTGAGATTATGATTACATTTCATTTCCTCTTTATTAAAAGAAAAACCAATCTCTCACCAAATCTGTGGTGGGTGTCCTAAAGGGTATTCTTTCCAAGAAATTAGGTGTTTAACATGGATTGAAACTTATACAGTTGGGATTCCATAAAGAAAACGGAAAAACAAACAAACAAACAAACAAAAGAACTACCTGGCTAAGCCTAATCCACCCAGAGAACTCTGAGAATAAATTATTGTTGAGCCACTCACTTTTGCAGTGGTTTATTATGCAACAGGCGACGGGAACATCCTGCCACGCTCCTCCTCACGTGCCCCACACCAGCCATCCTGGCCTTCCTGCCCCTTGACCACACCAAGCTTGTTCCTGGAGGGTCTCTGCTCTCCATGTCCTTGCCGTGAAGAACTACTACTCCCTCCAGCTCTTTGCATGGCTGGCTCCTCATCCTTCAGGTCTGTAATGGACATGTGTGTCGTCCCTTATATTCATATGTTGGAGTCCCAATCCCCAATGTGATGGTATTAAGAGGTGGGGTCTTTAAGGTGGTTCGGTTTAGATGAGGTCATGAAGGTGGAGTCCTCATGATGGGGTTAGTACCTTTATAAGAGGCCAGAGCTTGCTCTCTCGCCAGTATGTGGGGATACAGCAAGAAGGCAGCAGTACCTACAAGCCAAAAAGTCCTCACTGGAACCCAGCTGTACTGGAACCCTGAATTTGGACTTCCCAGTCTCCAGAACTGTGCGACATGAATGTCTGTTGTTTAAGCCCCCCAGTCTGTGGTATTTTGTTAGAGCAGCCTGAGCTGATGAAGCCAAGGTTTTAGCCCTGCCAATCACAGGTCACCTGTTTATGTCCTTCAGAGCACTATCTCTTCTGAAACTATCCTATGTAAAAGTTTATTCACTGTCTCCCCCATTAGACTCGGCTCCATCAGGGCAAGGGCTTTATCTGCCTCATTCTTGCCTGTATCCCCAGCATCCACACCAGTGCTTATGACTCAGGAGGTGCTTCTTAAGGAAGGAAGGAAGGAAGGAAGGAAGGAAGGAAGGAAGGGAGGGAGGAAAGGAGGGAGGGAGGGAGGGAGGAAGCTGCTCAGGTTGTCCTAATTCTCTCCAACTGCCTCCAGGGACCACATCTTCCTTTTCCTAAAATTGGCTGTAAGGCACAAGTTTCCCCAAGCTCTCATGCAATTCCTACAACTCAGTGAACTCCAAAGACTATTGGGGCAATGAATAGGTCTTTTGGCAACAGTCCCCAACTGATGCATCCATGCAGCACTGTCCCTTCTCTTCCAACCAGAACCGTGTGCTTTTTCTGGCTCTTGGATTAATTTTGGAGCTACTTTTAGAGCTGGTGTCCTTTTTTCTTTTTTTTCTGGCATTTTGTGAATAGGGGCAAATCTCCATCCTTTGAGGGCAGGTCCAGGTCATTCAGAGGTGGATGGGGAGAATCAAGTAGGTGATTAAATGGGACTGCCTTATCTGGGATCAACAATGAAGAGGATTAGAATCTGCTATGACTGAGTGTCCTCAATAGCGCAAGAAGGCAACCCAAATAGGAATTGGCAGCTGTTAAAGGCACAGCCGTTTTCTCCACCCAGGCTGCCTGGGTTCAAATCCCACACTGCCACTTCAAGCTGTGTGATCTTGGGCAAATGACTTCACTCCTGTCTGCCTTAATTTCCTTACCTGTAAAGCACAGATGACAATAACACCTGTCTCATAGATTTGTGGAAGGGTTAAATGAGTTATTACCTTAGGAGATAGGAGTAAAGACTTAGAACAGTATCTGGCATATAGTAGGAAATAAATAAATATGAGTTATTATATATTAAAGGCTTACATACAGACCTCAGCTGCCCACTCAACAACTGCATTTACCTTGGGCAAGTTATTTAACCTCATAGAGCTGTTTCCTCACCTGTCAAATGGAAACTGATCATAATACCCACTTCATGAAATTTCTCAAAGACTTAAATAAAGCATGTAAATAATAATAGTAACAGCTAACACTGTTGGTCCTCTACAATGTACCAAATACTTCATATACGAGGAGGCAGATACCGCCGTGCTGCTTTCATTAAACCATGGAGGAAACAGTCCAGATAGCTAGAGTGGCTTGCTCAGGGTCACCTGAGAAAGAGGTACAGCTGAGTCGGAGCTCAGGCCTATCTTATTCTGAGCCTGTGCTCGTTTCTCTGGGTCTATCTTTGGTCTACTAAATGCCATGAGCATGCATGAATTCATAAACTCCTTATAGCTCCTAACCCAACTCTGACTTCTAAGCCCACGCTCTTTCTTGCCACACTATAGCATCAAGGGCAAGTGCACTACGTTAGTTGTCATCACTATAACCAAACAGTAGCTAGCTGAAGGCTGAGGCTGGGTCTTCCTCATTTTTATATATCACCTCTGGCCTTTGAGTACTATGTCTCATACATGACAGACGCTCTATAAATATTTCATGGCCTGTGTCTATGCCCTGCTAACCTATTTTTTTAATAGAGCCTACTGGAGCACAACTAAAAAAAGCACATCCAATTATTATCAGGATGACATCATTTCTCAGTCTGTGCCTAAAGTTGTTTTTCTCTAGAAGCTGCTTCCAATTTTCACCTTGTGAAGACAAAGGTAACAGAGGAGTGGTTCTCACGCCTAGAAGAGGAAATCGGGGCTCATGTGATTGCACAATATTCTTTTTATGATATCCTTTATCGGCTGATAAACTCTTACTCAACCTCATGGCAGGTCAATGTCCCACTGTGTCAGGTGTTCAGATGGGAACAGATCACACAGGCTCTCAAGTTCAGCAGACAGAACGGCAGCACCTTTGGTCTCATGTATGAGGGTGTGGTAGAGGGGAAGAGGGTCAGGAAGGTGCTGAATGCCCATGGGCCCCATGCCCCCCATCCCCCCAAGCCCTCCAAATACCTCTGAATCCACTGGTCTTTGTAGGAGGCGCTGAACGAAATGCCTGCAAAAAGCTCCGATTTGTTGAAACTTACACGGAACTGATCCCAAAATGGGCCAAAGGGGTTTCCTTCCTGTAGAAAGAGAGTGGTCAAAGGCTTACTGAGGGGGAGGGAAAGCCAACTGGGGATGGGGCCAAGGAACTATGGGTGGGGGAATCCTGGGTCATCTGACTCCGGCTGAAACACCCTCAGAGGATGGCCCAGTAGGAATGTCACTTTGTAATTCTTGGGCGGGGGCCTGAGGAGGGCAGTTCCACCTCCAGTCCAGTTTCCTGCAGATATTCACCACAGTGTCTGAAGGAGTCTTTCCTGCTCATATGCCACATCCCACTGACCCTGTGGCATTGGTGTGGGTCTGGGGGCGGGGGAAGTGGACCTATGGGCCATTGGTTAGAGCTCTGAGAGACTTACAAGACTAGCTAATCCAATGCATCTTTCAAGATGGAAACCAGAGCTCGGACAGAGTAAGGCACTTGCCCAAGTGCACATAGCAAATGAGGACAGTGTTGGTGCTATAAGCCATCTCCTTTCTCAAATGTCATGGCTCCACCAACAACTCTCCCCAGACTTTAGCATATGCACTGAAAGACACAGAAGATTGCCTTATTCCCAAAGTGTCAGAAATTTACAAATTTCTACTGAAAAAATACAATAGCTTTCCTGTTTACCTGCTGTAAGGCTGGAAAGTACACACATTAGAAGAGTGGACAATGGAGTCCCATTACCCCGGGTTGAATCCCAGCTCCACCACTTGTTTGCTATATGACCTTGGGCAAAATATTGAACCTCTTTGTGTCATACTCAGTGTCCTGTTTCTAAAATGGGGGTGCTAAAAGTACTTTCCTCATGGAGCAGTTTGAAGATTGAGTGGGTTAACAAGTGTAAAGCTCTTAGCATGGTACCCAGCATGTCGTAAGTGCCATGTGAGCATTAGTTGTTATTACTGAGGGGGCACTTTACAGTTTACAAGCACTCTTACACCTGGCCCTCATGACATTTTATGAGCGAGACAGAGCGTCTTTATTTTGTAGGTAGAAATAAAAGCTCAGAGGAAGCAAAGTCCTCTGCCCAAGGTGATACCACTGACAAATGCCAGAAATGGGACTTAAATCTCCATATTTCTATTCTATGCTCTCCGATGCCTAACCCCACATAGTGTCATCGTGCAGTGTTTCAGGAGCCTAGAGGACATGGAACAGGCAAAAAGGGCCCAGCAGACCCACGAGACCCACCTTCATGGGGCACGTCTTCTTATCAGGGCTTCGCTGGGCCGCCACTTCAAAGCAGTATGCCACCCGCCTCTCAGGGGGCCAGTGGGTGGGAGCCAGCTTCTCCATGAAGTCCTCCAGGCTGATGACTCGATGGTAGGCCTGGAGGGGTTCCAGCTTGAAGTACTTCTGGTAGGATACATGGAGCTACAGGAAAAAGGAGAAAAGGAGGGGCAGGGGACTCTCCTCAGCTTCCTAGTGCTTGTTCTGCAGACATGTGTTAAAACCATAAGACCCAGACAGCTGGGACTACATGCCAACGAAAAACTTTTGGCAAAAGACAACAAATTAGGACAGAGACAGACTAGGAGAAGATATCTGCAAACTAAAGAACAACGAGTAATATCTCCCATGTTAAAAAAAATGCCCGCTGATCTATCAGAAAAAAGACAAAGGATGCACGAGAAAATATAGGCAAAGGATAGGAATAAACCACTCAACGGCAAAGGAAACCCAAATAGCCAATACACTCAAAAGATGTGCAACTTTACTAGGTATTAGGGAAAAGCAAATTACAATTATAAGATGTTACTTCTCATCCATGAGACTAGCAAAATTTTAAAAGCTTAACTCGAATCGTTGGTAAGGATGCGGGGAAAGGGGCATTTTCGTACTTGGCTGGAGTAAAAGTGTACATTTTGGAACAACCACTTTGGAATGTAACCTTGCAGCATCTAATGGAATCTAAAATGCTCCTTCCACCACCTTGAGGTATTTGCCCTAGAGAAGTTTTTGCACTCTGCACCAGGAGATGGGTACAAGGAGCAATGATAGTATGGGAAAGAATTTAGAAGTCACACCAAAGACACTAAATCCATGACAGTGCTGCCCCTAGGAGGTGAGGGGTAGGGATTAGGATTAGTCTCTGGAGCCAAGAGAGATCTTATCTTTTAACAGCTTTATCTGTAACATTGTAGCAAAGATGAGAAACTGTGTTAATGATTATCACTAATACTGATGGGTACATGGATGGTGATAATATTAATCTCTGTATTTTCCTAGATTAAAAAAATATTTTTAGAACACCATGGAATAAGATTTAGACATTATCCTATAGGTCAGGGTTCTCAAGCATGTTCCACTAATTCAGGTGGATAAAGAGCTCTGCAATAAAAAGACTCCAGAGTTAAACAGGCCTGGGAAATGCTGTGTTAAACTGCTTTCATTACTACAGGGCTTCTCAGGGCCTTTAATATGCTAATATGCATTTTGAATCTCCAATTTTGGGGGAGATGGGAAATTGAGAATATAATTTCCCAATGTGATTTAATCACTGCACACTTGTTGCATGAGCCATTGGTGTTCGAACATACAGCCGTTGGGAACCTTAACTGTTAGCAACAAGGTCTTGCTGAAGGATTTTAAGCAGAAATAATATGAGGTTTGCTTTCCTTTTTGAAAGATCATTCTGGTGGCGGAGGAGAGAATGTATCGATGTAAGATTAGAGGAGGGAGAGGAATTAGGAGGCTACAGCAACAGTCCCTTTTATTTGTTCAACTGTTCATTCAACACGTACTTTTGAGCATCTCTCATAAGTCCAAGTGAAGATGCAGTGGCATAGACAGGCTAGAAGATGTCGAGGAAGGTAAAGTAGAGTGTAAAGGGAAGCATGTCGGATAACTTCTAGATTTCCTGCTTGGTATCCAGGTGAATGGAGGTGACATAAACTAAGGCTGGGAATATAGGAAGTGACACAGGTTTGAGGGGAAACACGCCAAGTCCAGTTCTGGCTTTGAGAATTTGAGATGTATGTGGGACATCCAAGTAGACTCAAGGGCCAGGGAGTTAGAAACACAGGCCTGTGGTCAGAGGAGAGTCTGGGACACAGATAAATTTGGGAGGTCCATGGAGAAGATTGAAACCCACAAGTGTCAACAGAAATTTATAGCAAAGCAAATAATGGTAGAAATAGCAACTAATATGTATTGAGTGTTGACTTATCGCCAGGTGTTGCAGTTGTTGCAGATACTCATCACATTTCATGGATTGTTCATCTAATTCTAAGAGTAGGGATACAACCATCTCCAGTTTACTGAGGAAGAAACCCAAGCCAACAAAAACTAGATAACTCATCTGAGGTTACAACTAATAAGCAAACAGAAAGAGGAGACACACCTACATTTAAACAGTGGGTGGAAAGAGAGCAGCACTCCCCCTCCCCTTATAAGCACAAAAAGGAACATGCTGAAAGGTCAGGACTAAAGCAGAGACAGGCTATGTCATGGAAGACAGGGGAGTAGAGAAATTCAGGAATGAGAGAGGCTCATAGGGCCACGTGCCACCAGGAGGTCAGTTGAGATAAAGGCTGAGAAACGATCCCTGGAGTGGTAATTCTGAGGTCCCAGGTGACCCCTGTGAAATCAGTCCCAGTGGGGAAGGGGAGCCGAATTGGGATGGGTTGAGTAACCTATAGAAAGTAAGAAGTGGAGACTCAGAAACTGACTCTTGGCTGAGAAGGCAAAGCGAGAGAAAGCAAGCCAGAAGGAGATGAATGGGCAATGTCTAAACCGTACCAGTGAGTGAGAAAAAAAATCAGAGCATCAATGGCTCCCAGTTACTGAGGACTTCCTGGATTCTAAGCATTTTACATTGATGAGCTCAGCTGTTTCTAAGAGCCAGGCATAAAATATTCAAGGCATGCCACAATTGCTAAGTCATGGTGGGAGGTAGCAACAATTATCACCAGCCTATTTTAAAGATGAGGAAACTGAGGCATAAAGAAGTCAAGGACTCTGCCCAGGCGTCACAGCTAGTAAGTGGCCAAGCCAGGCTAAGATCTCAGGTACTTTAACCTCTAACTGTTAAAAACCTCTCTAAACACAGGCACGCAAAAGGAAAAATAAAACCTATGGAGAGAAAAGACTTTGAGAATGAAAATACATACAGTGTTTTGTACATACTAACTATAATTTTTTGAAGTTTATTAAAAACTTTTAAAGTCAATTAATTAAATATCAATTCAGTTCCTACTGCTAGGCTCCTGAGGACACAGTGTGAACAAAGACAGGCACAGGACCAGTGGAAAACACAAAGAATAAGCAAGGAATTAGAGGATGCTGAGCATCACCATGCTAAGGCAGCCCCTTGATGGGATGAGAGGTGGCCCTGGAGCCAAACTTCCTGGGTTTGTGCCCTTAGACACCTTATTTAACTAACCTGTGCTTCAGTTTCTCTTTCAAAACTGGTATCACCCATCACTCCTTTGACCAATGGAATGCAGAGGGTGGGGCCAACCAGGGCTGGAAACGGAGCTTTAGTTTCAGGTCACAGACTATGGAGTCAGACAGACATGGGCTTGAATTCCAGCTCTACCACTCACAAGCTGTGTGACCTTGGGCAAATTACCTAACCTCTCTGAACCTGTTTCTTCCTAGGGATGTAATGAGGGAGAAAAGAGCTGATCTTCATGCCGTTCTCAGAACAGTGCCTGACAGACAGCAGGCAATGGATAATTGTTCCTGATTGTTATTCCAGGGAAGACAGTTCTGGATGGGGGTAAGGCAAGTTCAGAGGGGTGTGCAGTAAAGCCCATGGGGTCAAGCAGAGGTGAAGAGTAGACAAGGGCCTGATACTCAGAGGGAGATACTCACATTGGTGAAGGGAGGCTTGTGATGCTGGTACTCAATCCAAGGAGGTACAGCGAGGGTGCGGTTCAACAGCTTTGCAAATGCCAGGGAGCCCAAGAAGTGATCAGCCTGGTTCCCGAAGCGCCCTAGATGGTATATTGTGGGAGAGGTGAGGCCTGGGGCATCAAGGGCATGGGAAATGCAAGGCCCATAAAGGATGCGGAGCCAGGGGTGGGGAGGGCCAGGGGAGCTGGGAGCATGGGATCATGAGATCAAGTCTGGACTCCCGGGTCTGACAGTCAAAAGGGCTTTCAGGCCCTGCCCCCTCTGCCTCAGCCACTCCAGGTTCCTTGCTGTTTCACAAACATGATCGACACTTCTACTCTACACATTGCCAACCCATGCCTTTTTTTCCGCTGTTCCCTCAGCCAGGAGTGCCCTTCCACCTCTATCTCCACCCACCTGCATAAGAAAGGGCAACTCCAATGCTTTAGTCATTGGGATCCTTTCCCCAAGCCACTGCCATACTCAGTCCCCCTCCTCTGCCTCCCATCTTGGATCTGAGTTACTAACAGTTCTTCACGTTTCTGAGAATGTCCTTTCCCACTTTTTGGCCTCTGTAATGGCTGTTTCCTCAGCCTGTGAATGCATCAGGTGCAAGGACCCTGTCTGATTCTTTTTGTTATCCCTAGCATGGCATCCATTCATTCATTCCACAAACATTATTGAGAGGACACAATGTGCCAGGCTGTCTGCGAGGTGCTAGAATACAGGAGTGGGCAGGAAAGAAAAGTGCTCTGCCCTCAAGCCATTCGCAGTCCAGCTAGGGAGGCATTAATCATGTAAACAAATATATAGTGATAAATGTTGATACGTTCAAGAAAGAAATGAAAAAGTTTGGATAGGAAACAATAAGGAAGAGGTTATTTGGGTTGAGGTCAGTGAAGTCCTTTCTGGTGACATTTAAGCTGCGACCTGAGGATGGGAAGGAATTGGTCTGGCAGAAGTGAAGAGGAGGAGGGTATTCCAGGCAGAGAGGGAATAGCACAGGCAATAGCAGCACAGGATCAAGAACCTGAGTATGTGTGAGGAACAGGAAGGGGATGAGTGGGGCTGTAGATGGAGGACCTGGTGAGGGAGAAGGGAGTGGTGGAGATGGGCAGAGGGCCAAGTCATCACTGTACGGAGCTGGGATTTTAAGAAGGTGTGACTTCTACAATGATGATTCACCACACCACTTAAATTGCACTCCTCAGCCGGCCCTTGGATTCTTCCTTACTTTTCTCTATTTTATTCTCCCACAGCATTCATCCTCTTCTAAGATACTATGTAATTACTTATTTTTTATGTTTACCTTTTAATATCTGTCTTCCTCAACTAAAATGAAGGTTCTACAAGGGCATGGAGTTTTTCTGTCTTATCAATGCCGTATCCCCAGAGCAGAGAATAGGACGGGGGACACAGAGTAAGCGCCCTATAAATATTTGTTGAATGAATGAAAATCTCCCAGAGCCAGCGTTGGATCAGTGACATCAAGTCCTACCCCACTAACTCCATTTACTGGACTCCGGGCTAACTTAGACTTTGCGCAAGACACATAACCTCTCCTGGCCTCAGTTTTCTCATCGGCCAAATGCAAGGTTGGACACAGAGGCCCCTTCAGTGACCGCGCTGGGGCTCTCTCCTGGACTTGTCAAGGTGTCTCTGGGAGCCTCAGAGAAGTGGTTTACAGGAGTAGCCTCGCCCCTCTGGGCCTCAGTTTCCCCATTTGAGCAGAGGGCTCGGGAGGCCTTACCCATGCATGGGCAGTAGAGCAGGTAACCGGCCGGGTCCCAGGAGCCCGCAGGCAGCCCCGGGAGCGGCAGAAGTAGCAGCAGGAGAGACACACGCAGCGCCAGGGGCGGTGATGCCCACGCGGCGGCGCCCATGTCAGCTCCAGAGCCCGAGCGTGCAGGGGCGCGAGCGTCCGCCCCGCTCCCGGCGGTCCCCGCGCGCCGCCCGCGCACCGCCCCGGCCGCTCTAGCCGGCGGGCGGGCGGGACCATAGAGCCCGCGGCACCGCCCCCTCCACGACCCGAGCGCCCGCTCGCGCGGCTCCCACAATGCACCGCACAATGGCCCGACCGCCGCCACTACCGGGGCCTGAGCGGGCCTGGCGGAGCCCGAGCGCGGCCCGGCCCGCAGCGCGGGGCCCGGAGCGCGGTGAGTGCCGGCAAGGGTCCCCTGGGACGGTGGGGAGCGGGTCGGGAGTCCGTCTCGCTGCGCCCGCGCGCCCGGCACCCGGAGCAGTGGCGCCCCTATTCCCGGGCCCCTCAGCGCGGTCGTCCACACCCCCAACCGGGGCCCCCCTCTGCGTCAGCCCGGGCCCTGATAGGCCCCAGGGTGACGAAAACTCTCCCCGGACCCGATACCTGGGTCTGGGGGGCTTGAAGAAACCCCACTGGCCCCCTCCTTTCCGAGACCTGGAGACGCAGCCCGGAGGGTCCCCCACCCCCGACCCCCAGGCTCCCTGGAGACTCAGATAACACGCTGCTAACCTTACTAGGGACCCGGGTCTGGGGGGCGCAGATAAGCTGCACCTGCTCCCTCCCCTCAGACACGCCTACCCAGACCCACATAAACCCCTTTCCTGCTCCAAATAGTCTGCTCTTGACCTCGGTTTCATCTTCCAGAACCACATAACCCCTTTGGAGGCTTCCCTCGAATATCTGGTTCTGGAGAACCCAAATAAGCCCTACCTTAGGGAGTATAGTGACCATACTCCCTAACAGTAGACATCCTTCATCCAAGCACCGTTTTTGTGACTCTTGAAATTCGGGGAATTCACTTGTGACTATCTTCAATCCCGGGAACCTTCCAGCCCTTATAATCCCCAATCGCGCTCTTTTTTTTTTCTCTTTCTTTTTTTTTTGCGGCGAGGGGTCCCTTAGAGATTCAGTTAGCTTGTTCATGGTTCCTTACCATACTTGCCCTTCCTTCCCATCCCTGAGACCTCCTCCAGACTTCTCCCTGAATTTCTGTCCCTTTTCTGGCAGCTGTCCCCACCTCTCTCCCAGACCCCGCCGGGAATTTATCCTTTCCCATCACACAGCGGGGGGGGGGCGGGGGGGTCTAGAAGCTGCTGGAGGAGCCAGGCTATTCCCTGCAAATCCATCCCCACACTGTGGTCTCAGCTTGGTGGCGGAAAGGCACCTGAGGGAGATAAGGGGACAACTGGCGTTGGGAGTTGTTGGTGCTTTCACCTGCCTGTGTCTCCTGGCTTGTGTGTTTTTCCACCTGTCAGCTTGGGACTGTGATAGAGCCTGGCCTTGGGTTTCTAATCCCCTCCCCACACACACCCAAGGTGAGACTAATGGATTGAGGGGGTGTCTAATCAGATTTCCTCTTTATGAAAATGGGGCTGTAGTAGTGAGTTGCAGCCATTTGCTCAAGGCCTTCTCAGGAGTGGGAGGCAGCGAGAATCAGAGGAAATAGTGAATCAAAGGGACTCCAGAGAGGGCCCGTCTATACTGAGAAGTGGTAGCAGCCTAAGAGTAAATTCAGCCCCTGTTGATCCAGTTGGATGTCTCTTGGAATGATGCAAGTCATTGAGACGCTCCGGCTTCCCTGTAATTTAATTCTCCCACCACTCTGGAGTGTGTGTGAGAGAGTGAGTGAAGGAGGCAGCTATTCTCATGCCCCGCTTTCCTTCTCACTGTTTTCCAGCCAGTCAGTGTGTCTTTTGGATTTGTTTCTGGTGCCCAGGTCAGGACCTGGTTTTTTTCTTTACGTCTATTTATAATTTCCCAATTGCTATTTTGGGTTCTGCTTAAGGGAAGATTCTGTCCACCCCAAGGAACGTTCCAGGATGTGCTTCCTCCTCAGCAGGTGTTGAATTGAGTTCTTCAGATCCCCAAGTAGCGGGGCAGGAGGGATAAAAGCTATTTTAGGGTAGTCACTGAAGTGGAGCTGTTAATCCTCTGTGGGTCTCTCTAGTTAAGAACACTTAGCGATTAACCCTTTCCTTGCTGCAGGGGGCTTTTTCTCAAAAGTTTTTGGGGAGGGTTGGGAGAATTCAAGTGTAGCAGTAGAAGGTGGGAACATGCAACTTAATACAAAGGCAAAGCTAATAGCTGCCTTTTGTTGGGTACTTACAGCAAGCCAAGCCCTATGCTGAGCCCCTTGCATACCTGACTAAAATAATCCTTACAACAAGCCTGTGAGGTAAGTATTTTTAGCTTTACAGATGAGGAAACAGGCTAATAATGGAGAAAGAACACAGTTTCTATAGAGATGATGTAACACCATAAAAACTATAGTTTCATCAGAGGGCAGCAGGCATCATGGCTCACAATAGACAGACTAGGGAGCAATTTGTCTCCTTCCCGCTTCCAAAGAGGGCCAGCCATACAGAGTTGTCAGCACGCATTTGTATTTGGGGTATGGAGCCTTAATAGAAGTGATTCCTAAAGTGAAAGACCTCTGGCCCAAGATATGGTGCTGGGAGAAGGTAAAGTGAGGGGGACTTGTTAGAGGGGATGTGCTGAGGGTTCATTGTGAGGTGAAAAGGGGAAGGCTGCATTTTGGGGAGATGTTGGGAAGGGAAGGGAACTCATTCTGAGGTCTGAGCAGCAACATTAAAAGGGGGGGAATGAAGTGCTACTCAGGCCCCATATAGAAAAGAGTCAGACACAATTTAGACCTCAGAGACAGCTCTGCATGTATTCACACATTTTGTCAGGTGCTTTGACGAATGTTGTCTCGCTTAATCCTTCACGAGAATATTATAGGTAAGGAGAATAAATCTCTATTTTAGAAATTGAGGAAACAGGTTCAGAGAAACAAAATAACCTGCCCTTAGTTTCACAGCCAGTAAGAGGCAGCTCTTCTGATAGCAAGTCCAAGGTTCTTTCCACGCTACCCCCTCTTCAGATCAGGCGCCAGAGGAATCTTAGGATGAAAATCTACCAAGTTTTATACCAGTTACTGGGAGAGATAGATTGTGTTTGTTTTATGGGAACAGGTTCTGTCAGCTTCTCTATAGTTGTTAAGATTAGCATGTGAGACCAGAAGAGCAGCTTTGAAAGAGAAGTAGAATTCTTTGACAGTTTTGCTGAGGAAGAAGTCTGAAGGAATAGGCCTGATAATGTGAGAGAAGCCCAGGAATCTTTCTGGGTGAGAGGAGTTTGCAGACAAAGGACAGGAAAAGAGACTAGATTCCCAGAAGGGTTCCTAAGGTAACACTAGTAGCTTTGGTTATCCAGCCGCCGTGCAGTTACTTTAGGTAAGGGCTTCTGCTGTGCTTTTTTAAAAGCTTAGGGGGAATAGGATCAGGGTGTTGGCTGTTTTCTTTTTAAAGCCATAGCCCCATTAAAGGCAGATCAAGGCAAGCACATGGCTGCTGCCTTCCTTCTCTGGTTCTATCGGTACTACCTCGTGAGCTCTTCTTAGCCACCGCCAGCCTGTTTCCTAGAAGCCCATTACTCACTCTTTCAGTAGCAGCATATTAAAGTGCTGTGTCTTGTTTGTGCTTGTTCAGGAGAACATATGAGGTGGATGTGTGGGAGGTGGGGGACGTATTATTCTCTTTCTGAGTTTGCGTGGAATTTCCAGGGCTAGGCTCCCTTCTCACATCAGCCAGAGTGATGCAACTTGCTTCCCTCTGGCTGCCATTCCCAACTTTCCAGAGGCTGAGGTGCATGATTTCAGATATCAAGGGGGAACAGAATTTGACTTTGAAGGTAGGGGAAATTCCCTCCAAACTAGACGTTCAAACTCATGCTCGCTGTCTACCCAATTCCAAGATGCATAGTAATTGCTGGTATTATAAACAGGTAATTCCACCCTTGTGAAGAAGGGGGGAACTCAAATAATGAAAGCCAGATGGCAGAGGCCTTTGAGGTTTATAGTGAAGCAGGTAAATATGCCATGACTTGAAGGCTAAACTGGGACTAGTTTTTAGTGCTACCTACGCCTCCCCAGCACATGACTCATGCAAAATGCAGCCACCTTTGTGCAGATCTTTCTAGGCAAATCTCCACTCGTGATAGGGGAAATGTTTATCATATTACATTGCAATATTTCTTCAACAAGAGCATTGGTTCCTGAACAGGACGTAGCTCATGTTAATGATGAGCAAAGCTCTCTGGGGCATGAACCCGCTGATCGCATCATCTCGTTCACGGCCAGTCTGTTGGATAAATGGTCACTGTAAGCAGCAGGTGCTAATGAGCTGAGCAAGCATTCTGTAGCCCACAGCTAGATTGTGTGGTTGGAGCCCTCCCCAGATTCTTGTGGGCAATTCCCACATACCCCTTGTGCTGCTCCCTTCACATGGAAAAGCCTCGACCATATTTTGGCATGACCTCTTCAAAAGGAATCCCTGTTGTAGCAAGTTGAATTGCGGTTGGTAATCTGTGATGAGTTTGTGAGTGTGAATATCTGTCGTCGCTCTTTTGAGAGTCAGGACCAAAACTCCCATTCTCTCTTCCTCTGAGTTGGTGTCAGGAAAGTTGTGTCACCTTGCTCCAGCCCCCACCCCCACCCCTTCTACTCAACAAGAGAAAGGATCAGACATCAAGATAATGTCTCCACACTTTGAAGGACTGTAAACCCAGTTTAAACCAGAACTTCCTGAGCATATGTTAAGCTCAGGAGAATCAACTTGCATTCAATGACTAATTTACTCATCTAAAAGAAAGTTGAGTGTGGTTCTCTAGATGCTGGGTGATGAAAGAGATGTTCTCTGAGCCCTCAAAAAATCAAGAGTTTGGTTGAGGAGACTAAGTTCTAATGCAAGTGTGTTACCTGCTTGTAATGAAGAAATGCATGTGCCTATGAGATCTGTAGGAGGGACCACTCAGCACCTTGGGCTATTGGACAGGCTTTGCTAAAGAAGCGTGGTCTGTGCCCAAGACCGTGAGTCCCAGAGAGGTGGTGGAGGGCAGGATGGGACCAGTACGAGGTAAGGGGAAATGCTGACTGTGCTGTACGTGTATTGCCTCCTCAGACAGAACCTCTCGATGT